ACAGCGGTCCGAGTCAGCAAGCTACCTGGACGGCGGCGTCCAACCAGAGCGCGCCACGCACGCCTTTAGAGCTCCCTAGGATCTAGTCAGCACGCGTAGTTTGAATAGATAAATAGGGCTTTTTCCTATTTATTTAAATACCTTTAACTTAGAAAATTCATAGCTTTGTGTAGAAAAATCACAAAAATAAAATAAAAATACCCTTTTGCTCAGTAAATAGAGAAGAATAATGTGAAATAATTTTCAAGTCCATTTGATGCATAAAATATTTTTAATTAATTAAATACTATTTGGAATCATTTGATCCTTCATGCATATTGACACAGCACCTTGGCTTGAAGTTTTAACATGTTGTAGCCTCTGTAAGGGCGAACATTCTCTGATTTTTCCAAAGTCAGATGAGGTTTTTATATAGAGATCCATATTTTTCAAGTTATTTCACACCATTTCTTTAAAAAAATCATGGAAATTAGCATACTGGTTACTAAATCCCAAGAAAATTTTAGGAGGTCTACCATGACTAGAGAAACCTTTAAAAATAATTTCATGGGTCAAGTCATTTAAAACATCGTTAAATTTTTCAAATACTAAATCACTAAAATAATTAATTTTGAAAAATATAAACATTTAAATGACTTGATTTCTGATCTCCAATTTGATTTATGATTGTATTTTTATTTTTGTGATCTTTTGTAGTAGAAATAGATGTTTGTGTATTTGGACTTTCATTTTTATTATTCTGTGTACTTGGATAATTTTAATTTTTATTATAAAATTTTAATTTTTAGATAATTTTAATTTTTATTATAAAGTTAGTGTTATAGTTGAATTTGCATGTGTAGTTTAATAGATGTTGAGTAGTATTATGGATTGTAATGTAATGTGTTTTTTATTTTCACATTTTAATTTTAATTGTATTGTTTAGTATTGTGTTTGTGTTAGGAAATGTTGTGTTTGTTTTAGTTTTATACTTATTTCAAAATTTCATTACCAAGAAATTCCTCTAATGATTTATATGTG